TAATAGTTAATTACGAGTGTTACTAGAAACAATTCATATTTTTTTAAGTGCATCACCGTTCCACCGCTATTACCGAAATACACCTCTAATACGTTTATTCCTACTGAATTCGTTGTAAACAGTATTATTGATATTTAAATGATTTAACACGAAACATAATGGTATTGTTACGTCACAATGTTAACCATTATAATAATATGTTGTGAACTATAATAGTTATAATAATACAATTGTGCCTTTTTAATCGTTGTTCAGGTCAGAAAAGCACGCTGGAACGGATGATGACGTGGCGAATCAAACGATCTGTCGACGCTTCGGCAGTACCACAGAAGAAATCGAAAAAAAAAAGGGAGATCTGCCAGCGGTATCCGATGTATGTAAATTTCACAGAGATCGGGTTCAACGATTGGATCCAAGCGCCGGGTGGGTACGACGCGTTCTACTGCAAAGGGGAGTGCAAGTTCCCGTTGGCAAATCATCTTAACGCGTCCAACCACGCGGTAATGCAGACGCTGATGAACTCATATAATTCGTCGAAAGCTCCCCGGGCATGTTGTGTACCGACCAAGCTAAGTACACAGACGTTGCTTTACAAAGACGACGACGGAAAGTTGGTGGTGAAAAACTACCAGGAAATGACCGTGGACGAGTGCGGATGTAGATGAGGAARCCGGTGGCAGTTATCGTATATATMTACACGATATAGGYACTAGCTCAAGTCTGGATGTGTGCTGYATACTTTACACAATCATAAAACCTTGTCATTTTTACGCCGAATTTGGTAGATATACATGTAATGCATGTAAAATATCTGCAATGTGAATGTGCGTGCGTGTGTTCTCCCAAAATTCTCTAAAAGTGTTAAACGCGAATGTTTAAATAAAACCATTTTTTTTTTTTGTCGTTATAATTGAATCAACTGAAACTGTAATAAAATATATGTATATTGCAATATAAACACACATGTAAATACACTTATAAAAATTTGTTTTTTTGAATAACGCGTTACTAATAAATAA